TGAAAGAGCCCCAGACCCTACATTTGAAAAATATTTGGGGCTGGAGAGCTGGCTCCAGTTAAGAGCAGTTGCTGTTCTCACAGAAGACCCTGCTTCAGTTCCCAGAAAACACAGAGCGGCTCACACTATGTTTAACTCCAGTTCGGGAGGGTCTGACTTCCCCTGGAGGCTTTCCCAGGCACTACCTACCCATGGTTCACCTGCAAGCTGGCGGGAACTCTCAAGCACATTAAGTAAAGATATACAGCCCTTTTAAAATTGTGTGTGCGTGTCCGCATGGGATTGTGTACATCCCTGGCAGCTAGAATCATCATCTGGACTTACGGGAGTGTGTTTGTTGTCCGATGTGAATGATGGAAACAGAAGTTGGGTAACAACAGTATCTGCCCTAAACTACTGAGCCCTCTCTCCAGCAGCCAGGAAACAGGAGCTCTCCTTTTGGTCCCTTTTTTACAGTAATTTTATCTTTGAATGCAGATGCAATGGCTGCAGCCAAAACATCTATTCTGGACAAGACCGAGATGAGAGGTCAAGATGGAAAGAGCTTGAACCCCACATCATGAAAAATGAAAAAGCTCTGTGCTGTATTTTAGGAGCTTTCCAGTAATTCAGGCCAGAAGTTCCAAGTCTGATGAAGGCACAGCCCTCCCCTCAAAGTCTTGAAGTGGAAAGGCCAGCAGCTCCTCACTGTCCTCAAGAGTGGCATCCAGCTGTGAAAGAGAATGCTGTGACTCTCCTGTTTCTGTTCCCTATTCCTGGCATTCTGGTAACCTGCCTGCATGCAGCAGTTGAACCTACCCTACCTGGGGTTTTCTACAATTATTTTTCTCAGTAAGAACAGAGAAACCCTGTCTCAAAAAAACAAAAACAAACAACAACAAAGTGTCATTTGTTGCTGGGTGGTGATGACACATGCCTTTAAACCAGGAGGAATTTAATCTCAGATCTCAGGAGGAAAAGGCACACCCTTGTGAGTTCAAGGCCAGCCTGGGTCTACAGAGCTAGTTCCAGGACAGCCAGGAGAAACCCGGTCTTGAAACACACACACACACACACACACACACACACAATCCCCATTTGCCTACCACACAACATCTGTTAAATGCTATCTGATGCGTGAAGGTAGACATGGGGCCGAAGCAGTACAGTCAGAGGAGTCAGAGAATGTGTCTGGATTTTTTTTTCAGTTCTCGCAGAATAATTCTGTCAGGGGTTCCAAACGACATATGTCCCTTTCTGGATCTTAATTCCTCTGTCCGGAGCCTCACTGGGACCAAGGTCAGCCTACCTCAGCTCCACAAGCTTCGAGGAAATGATGAGACACGGATTAATACACTCAAGAACAACTTCTGCCTGTGCGCTTAGTCCCCACAGATGCAAAAAGGGGCATGTTCTAGTGGAACAAGTCTTTCTACAGCTGAGAAATCCAAGGGCTTAGAACTGCTGATCTCTAAGAGCAGAGTAGGAGCATGCTAGCTGTGGCCTTCATGCCAATGGGTTTCATAGAAACAAAGACCCCTCCTGATCTAACCGGGAACCCTGAGCTGCTCCGTTTCCTTTGTGTTCCATTTTCTGCCCCTTTTCTCTCTCATGCCCTTGTTTTCCTGTCTGCTTTCCCTCCTCTCTTATTGCCGTCCTCCGACTTACTGTCTGCTGTGTCTTGTTGTCTGTCCTTTCGGAGCTAAGCCACAGTGCCCTGCACATTGTGCCGTAGCACTGGAACGTTTCCCTCTGGAATCACAGGTTCCCGTTGAGCTCAGTCCTTAGGTAACTCAGCTAGAGTGTCTCCCATACTGCAACACACGAGGTAGGTGTTGAAAAGTGTCACCTACTGCGATGCTGCTGGGCCTTCACCTCGCTGGACCTGCTTTCTGCACCGTTGGGCCTGAGCCTCGCCAGGCCTGTGATTCAGCTGCAAGCCAACCAAAAATGGCTTTTGCAGGTGGCCAGGGTGGCCAACCATAACAGTAGAGATTGGCCAGCCTTGCCCAAATGCAGGTCTTCTCTCCATCTAGCCCCTTCTCCCCTAACCCATAGGGTCAGCACTGAAGCCAGGAGTTAGCTGTCTTGTGGGCCTAAATCCTTGGGATTAAGGAAGGTTGTCAGAAGGGGTTACCTTTGTGCCCCAGGTTCAGTGTTCACCCCCAGAAGGGACCCTGTAAGCCTACCTTACTTCCCTATAGTCCATCACTATCTCATCCGCTCCGATAACATGAGATTGCCAGAGGCGCAACGAGAAGAGACAGGTTCTTTTCCCGATTTGGGCAAAAGCACAAATAAATGCATTTCCCTTAACTAATTTCTCTTTCCTAATCTCTTTTGGAATACAGCAAAGCTAAGTCAGTGGGGGCGGACCTAAACGCCACATAAAAGTTCGGGCAAGAACCAGAAAGTGCCAGGGCTGGGGGAGGCAGCAGCAGGGAAGCATGTCGTTGTGGTACTGAGGGGAAAGGCCGCTCAGACTGGCCACTCCTGGCACTTGGGCTCTCCATTTCTGGTCTGGGGCACAGGGATCTGTGACTTCTGTACTGACAGCACAAGAATGGCGACTAAATTAATTTCCCTTTCCTCTCCTACTGGTGTAGCCCTGTACACAAACTCACAGAGAGAGAGAGAGAGAGAGAGAGAGAGAGAGAGACTGAGAGAAAGAGGAGAGAGAGGGGAGGATTCCCAGAGTCAGGGTTTCTGATATAATCACGTTTACCATTTAAACTCATTGGTTTCCATTTGTTCAAAACTGCAAATACACACAATTATTAGCAAGCTTGGCCAAGATTTTCATCGCTAGTATATTCTATCCTCTGTATTTTCAGCCTAGTGTTTTCGTCACAGTTTAAAATAATCGTTGCCATCATCATTACTAGAGTGTCAGTGCCAGGATCCCAAGGTGAAGAAAAGCCTCCCTGTAAAGTATACTTGAATTCTGCATATAGGAATCCACAGAAGATATATATGTATATGTGTTTTGTTTTCTTTTGTTTTTCTAGACAGGGTTTCTCTGTGCAGCCTTGGCTGTCCTGGACTTTGTAGACCAGGCTGGGTCTCAAACTAAAAAGCGATCTGCCTGCCTTGTCTGCCTCCCCGAGTGCTGGGATTAAAGCATGAGCCATCACACGGGGCTAAGATTAAAATTTTAAATATTTAAAGTGACAGTGAAGTCAAAGCAGTAAAAAATTAGCAAATGTAATCACAAAACTTTTCAAAGTTCTCTTTTGAATTACTAAATAAAGATAAATAAATAAATAGAGTAGCATTTCTATGAAGAGATACCAATACAAAAACATTCAGGAGCACCGACCAATCAACACACATTTGCCTATCTATTTCCTGTCTCTCTAGCAAACTCCTAAAAATTTTTGCTACTCAAGAACGAAAACATGCTGTCCTACCTATTAGCTACTTGATGCCTAAATTTCTATCTGCTTAAAATACATAGGAAAATGTATACAGATGACCTGAGGTGCTTAAGTTTCAACATACTCTGGCTGGTCATTTAACATCTCTCAGGAATGAGGGCTTGTCAGGCAGAATGGCGCCTGCATCCTAACGAACGGTTATGCCAGCAGTGAGGTTCAGTAAGAACTGCCTTTGGCTAGAGGTCAGCTGGGCTTGTTTGGGACGCTACCTGAAAAATATGCAATCACATATATCGTTTTTAAACGCTAAAAGGCAAATAAACAAGATGAACCTATCATTTTCATTGCAGGAACTTCATGGAGAGGTCTGTCTACAGGACAAATGCGCCTACTTTGCTCTATGTAGGTCAGATATGCCAATTGGCACATAAAAAAAAAAATCAAACCACTAGCATGGTCTGTACACACACAAGAAGCCAATTCTGCCTTAAGCTTGGGGGGGGGGCTTCAACTCAGTGTTATTTAACTTCTGGAGAGCATTCAGGGATTTCACAGAAATCAAGCATGGAGCAAACAAGAAACCACATTCCCAATAACTACACCGCTAAAAAAAAGACGTGGCTTGAAACTTCCCTTAAAATTTTTACTTAGAGCATTCCTGATTGAAATGGCGATGAAAACTAAGTTAACAACGGATGACTGAACCAAGCGGCCAACAACCTAACCTTAAATGTAAAGAGGCTACACTACCTTCAACGCTTAAAACCGACCTAACGTTAAGTAAACATAAGAAAACTCCTATTTAGAGGTTTCACGCCAACTACTACATCAGCAAACCTTTAAAACAAAAGGGCTGCCAGCAAGGGTCTTCAGGGCCTGTGTGCTTCCAATGGAAGTGAATTTTTAAAAATCATAGGAAATCTAAGTTACTACGAAAAATGAAATTTTGGACAGCTTCGGACACGGCGTGCTTGGCCCTGGGAAAGATGCCGGCGCTGGGGTGTAGCTGCTTCATCAACGCGCTGTTGCCATCCTTGGGCGCCCTTGGTCATCGCCTTCTCCGAGCTTTCCCGGTCAGGGGCGGAATTGGCGGGCTCAAGAATTGTGAAAAAACAAAAAGAAACCTGAAGAGGGAAGGGTGGAGGAGGAGGGTCTCTGCAGCGGCTACAGTTTAAACGTGGTGGCGACGAATACCGCGGGATCTGCAAACGTCACCTGCTAAGTGTCCAATCAAGGTGAGGCTTGTACAAAACCATGGAACCATTGGCTCTGGGGAGACGCCGAAGTTCAGCCAATGAGTTTAATCTCTTTCGCGCCTTGCACCGAGTTCACGGTATGGAAGTCTGACTTCAGCATTAAGTGAAAAGGGTCACATTACAAAACGGACAATGCTTTTACACCATAGTAGTCGCGCGCGCAAGGGACAAAAAACTAGCCTGTTCTCAGTGAGCCTTACTCCAGTAACGGTCAGCTGACTCCAAGGCATAACACTGTCTGCCCTAAGGTGCAGAGTCAACCTGGGCAAGGTTTTTCAAGCTGGTATCCCCATTAAAATGTTAGGTCAGTGTGTACAGCTGCATTCAAAGAGCTCTCTGGGTGGCTCTGAAAAGAGCCTTTGGGGCTTTGTTACTGGCAGAAGCGCATCTACTTCTTTTTGGAGACCGCCTTCTTCGCCTTGGCAGCCTTAGGCTTGGCCGTCTTCGGCTTGGAAACCTTAGGCTTGGCCGCCTTTGGCTTCACTGCCTTGGGCTTCGCCGGGCTCTTGGCTGCCTTCTTTGGCTTGGCTGCAGCCTTGGCCTTCTTAGGGCTCTTGGCCACTTTCTTCACTCCAGCCGCCGCAGGCTTCTTTGCTTTCTTCGGGGTCTTCTTCACCGTCTTCTTCGCACCAGCAGCCTTCTTAGGCTTTTTCGGGGTGGTACCCGCGGGCTTCTTGGCCTTGGCCGCGCCCGCCTTCTTGGCTTTGGGCTTGGCCTCGCCGGAAGCCACCTTCTTGTTGAGCTTGAAGGAGCCGGAGGCGCCGGTGCCCTTGGTCTGCACCAGGGTGCCCTTGCTCACCAGGCTCTTGAGCCCGAGCTTGATGCGGCTGTTGTTCTTCTCCACGTCGTAGCCGGCGGCCGCCAGCGCCTTCTTGAGCGCGGCCAGGGACACGCCGCTGCGCTCCTTGGAGGCGGCCACGGCCTTGGTGATGAGCTCGGACACCGGGGGGCCGGACGCCTTGCGCTTCCCGGCGCCGGCCTTTTTTGTCGTCTTCTTCTTGGCGGGAGACTTCTCCACCGGTGCTGGAGCAGCAGTCTCGGCAGGAGCAGTTTCAGACATGTTGAGACTAAAAGCTTCTAAGGCGAGGAAGAAACTCTAAACAGAGGAGCAAATTTTGCAGTGCTCCTTTGCCCGGATTCCGGGCTTATATAAGCCGGCGCTGGGCTGTGATTGGTGGAGCGTCCAGTCCACCGCCCTCCGGCCGACCCGCGATTCAAGGTTTCAATCCTAAATTGTGTTTGTTAGTTCCCAAATTTTTAATTACTGCTGGAAATAATAGCACACAAATTCGCAGTTTTAAGTTCCAAAAGAGAACAGCCTTCGGATTCACATACTTGCGTGTGCTTTTCTGAATCACATGCAACTAACCAAAGATATATTTTAAAAATCCCTCCAGTGTCTACTAAGAATACGCCAAGCATGGGGTATCCTGATTATTACTTTCATGATTCCATAAACGTATACGACGTATGCAAGGAACATTGCTTAAAAGAACCTGTACACAGTTACCACCTTTAATGTTTTCAAGAGTAAAAGTAGTAGTTTTTTTGTTTGTTTGGGCACAAACTTTGTTTGTGACTATAGCAAATAACACAGATACAAGGTACCTGCCTGGTTGGCTATAGAATGAAATTCACTAGATGTTTCTCTTAAAAAATCGTTCCGGCTCCTAGTGTTTCCCACTTATTGATATCTTTAATGGATAACGCTTTTTTTTTTTTTTTCATTGCGAAAGCGACTTTGAAGTAAGAAGACTATCAGTCTATGTATGTGCTGGGTAGGGAGCACTCCCAGCTTGGAATACAGAAGGGGGGATGGACACTGTACCCCACGGAGTCGAACATACGCTGGAGGGTTTTGCCACGTCTCCCATCCCCGCCACCCAGGTGCTGGAAAGGATCATCAACTAGCAAGGAACATGCGGGAATCGAGCTGAGCTCTAAGCATTTAAGACGGGAGTCCGCTGCTCTAAACATGGTGAATGTTTAAGGCTCCAGTGAACACGTCTTGGAGCTTAGAGGCTGAGGAGGGATACTGAGAACATGAGAGAGGGGATGTTTTAGATAAAGGTACTACCAGCCACAAAAGGATGAGAAGTAGATATGAAATTAGGAAGAATCTAGGTGTCGTATTTAGGAGTTCTAGAGATGGATTAGCAGTTAAGACAACTTGCTGCGGTTGGTAGAAGATCTGGCTTTGGCTCCAAGCAACCACTTAGCAGCTTGCAACTGTAGCTGCAGTTGGAGGGGAATCTCTGGCCTTCTAGATTCACCTGGGTATCAGGCATTTAAGTGGTATACACACACACACAGGCACACACAGACAGAGAGAGAGAGAGATGTACATATATGTTAGCAAAAGCTCATACATATAAAGATTTTAAAAATAACAGAAATATTTAAAAAGAAATCAAGAACCTCAGACACCAACCACCTTAACTCTAGGTCAAAATGAATGTGACATGGGTCTGATTGATAGGCTTTCATCATTTCCTAGGCATACTTGAAAACAAAATACTAAAAATGGTTTACCTTAAAAAATTATAAAACTTCCATAAAATTATCCAGGGAAAGCCTACAGCCCTCCTATGAGATGGCCACTGAGATTTTCAAACATTGAGCAAACGATGGGCATGCTCTTAAGTAAATAGTCAGTAAATTTACTGTTGACCTAATACACGGGTAGTTCTTGCACATTTAGAAGCAAGCAGGTCACTATCTTAGAATACTGCTCAAGGGCCAACACAAACATAGATTCAAACATTTTGAGAAGATGGGTGGTGATGGTGCACACCTTTAGTCCAGTCACTTGGGAGACAGAAGCAGCAGATCTCTGTGAGTTCAAGGAGAGCCTTTTCTATAAATCCAGGACAGCCAGAACTACACAGAGAAACCCTGTCTTGAAAAACATACAAGAAAAAAAATTTTTTTGAGAAAAATAAAAAGTAAAAAGATATGCTAGAAAGAAAAAAAATGACAGTATGGTAGGAAGTGAGATTTGCCATAATGGAGAAAGATGTACAGAATTTTGTACTAGCTTAATAAAGAACATGATCAGATTGGTTTAAATGCATAATGAATCACAAAGGATTTCGTTGGTTTGTTTTAACAAAAGTAATGCAGTTTTGACAATGACAAGTCTTTCTGGAGCAGAGCTTACTGGGCACAGCTATATTCCTCACAATTATGTGGCTGAAACAGATTAGGATTACAAGGTTTTTCAGTGCAACATATTGAAAAGTGAACTTGACACCTTACATGAAAAAGATAATACAATTAAAATCACAGAGGCTCTTTAGTCAATACAGAGAAAGGAAAGGATGCTAAAGAGGTCAGCATGCACATTTGTCACAGATGATCTGCATAGCAAATTGTATGACCCTCCAGCTAGCAACTTTTTTGATATTACAGAATACTGTTATGATTCAAGATTAAGGGAATGAATGGGGCACAAAACGACCAGACCTTCATAGCAAATTGCTAATTTAACCTTACAATATAGCATTAAAGGAGAAATACGTAAAAAGGGTATATTTGATTAGAAAAGCTTAGGCTTTACTTGTCCTCAAACACCCTAGTTAAAGACAACCTTGGCATTTAAAGAGGGTTCCAGTGGTTCCAAGAGGTTACTATATAGTGAAGCCTTGCCTCTACCAGCCCCCCCCCCAAAAAAAAACCCTTATTCTAGGGAACATGCTCAACAAGTTACAGGAAAATTAGGGGACACTGCAATCATAGTATTGAGGATGCACATTGTACACCAGAGGCTAATATACTATGGAGGATTTGGCAGTCTTACAAACTAGCCACCAAGGGGCCAGAAAGTATCATTAACTACCAAAGAACTTGCAGAAACCGAGCACAGCTCTAATTACGCAATGTCTGCTACTGGTGACTTCTTAAGCGCAACAATGAACAATCTCCAAAACTTAGATGCCTAAGAGTGATCAAGAAAAAAGGTCGGGAATATGGCATTACCAAAACAGGGAGATTAAGTAATTTAGGTGACTAACTTAAAATGTGAACTCGTAAAGCAAACAGCTCTTTTGGGGGGAAATGTGGGGCTCTGAAAAGAGCCTTTTGCAGGAATGAAGGGATGGTAAATTACGCCCTCTCCCCGCGGATGCGGCGAGCCAGCTGGATGTCCTTGGGCAT